GAATTTTGCCTGAAACTCTCAGACTGAAGAAGTCTCTTGGAGGAGAGACGAAACGTTTCATTAGAGAAGAACCCGTCCAGAAGACCTTTACAATTTTTTTCTTTTTGATTTTTTACCTGGATTACTGAGATGCATCAGGACATTTTAGCTCATCCTTCAGCTGCAACAGTCTCCTCCATCCTGTGGCTGCTGATGAGACAACCAGACAGATTCTTCTCACAGCTGTATCCGTTTGGTTTAATGAGGGTGGGCAGCTCAGGACCCTAAACCCAGTCTCCACCTTTCTTGTGCACATTTAATGTTTTCAAACATCTCAAATTTCCTCATACAGTGGGAACGTCTTAAGATTTTGAAGGATTTTCATTGAGTAACCAGAACGTTTCATGTGAAGAGGGAAACAACACAGCAGGATGTTTTAGAGCAGGGGTGCCCAAACATTTCCCCCGAGGGGGCCAAAATGAAAATCTATCCATGGCTGCAGGCCAAATGCAGTTATATAATACATGAAATACAAATACTTTTTAAAGTAACAGTTCCACGTAAGGCGAAAATTTTGAGCATGTTCAAAATTCTGTGCTGTAATCTCCGTATGAAAAGAAAATGTATACCCTCTGATATTAACGTGTTGGTAAGTTATCTTAAATTTACACCTAACTTCTATTGCGTTGTAGACATTGTGTCACTGTGTGACTGCTGTCAACGTCACATTTTCCTCCAACATGCTGTGCAGAGCTTCTGCAGAAGTTTCACTAATGTTGCACACATGTGTTGCAGAAGTCCAGACACGTTACTTATTATAAGCTTGTGTACATTATGTTTAAGGTAGGGTTACTTAGTTTGCAAATGGGTTTTATATCTGTTCAAGTAATTAGCAACCGTTAGCAGTATGATCACGTTCATAGAAGTTGCTAATTGATGCTTTTTTCCATCTTCTTCAACGTGTGCCAGCATGTTGGACAAAAATTTGTACGTGTAGACAGAAGCTGTCTAAACGTTATAGTGTGACAGCGCCCTAAGCGACGGATGGGGTGACCGCAATTATTTTATTAAGCCATAAGAAGTAAGAAAGGCACGTAAAGAATAAATTGCACCTGCTTGAATAGAGGAGGTGGGTAGTGATTGTACAGCTGCACTGGCTGCTGCTGTTGTGTTCACTATCGCCAATCCCGGTCTGTTTCTAATTAAATTTCATAAATCTTGCGTAAATTTGGTGGAGGTCTGTTTGAAAGTGTTGATGCCCTTCTCCAAAATCCTACCTAAATGCCTGGTGATTGCATGGCATAAAACATAAAATACAGTTTTGCTAGTTGTGCTCATAAGAATAGCATGTTTTTGTTTTGTTTGTTTTTTTTTTAACATAAGATGCCCAAAACCCAGCTGGCTGCTGGTTGCACCACAAAGTTCTCCTGTTTTCTCCCAATTTTGAGTCACGGACGAGTCTCCAGCAGTCACAGCAGAGCAGTATACTACTTTTTACTGTGCAATGAATCAGTTTCTGATAACATTTAATGGAGAAAAAAAAGATTTGTGTAAAACTGCAGCTACTGAAGCAGGACTCACATGAAGCGACAAGTTATATCCAAATACATTCAATTACATATTTCGCAATCTTTTGTTTAAAAATGTCAAAAATATGTCAAATTTACACTTTATAAACTAGAATTAACATGAAAATTTTAGATAAATTATAAATTTATTGGGGGCCTACCGACATTGTTGGACATGTGCTGCTCCAGTAATTTGAAACACATGTGAGTGAAACTAACAACCAAACCAAGAAATGAAGTTACGTGAACGCATTTGTTCACCGGCTGCTGCTTCTGTTGGGAATCTGTTACCGATGATAAGGCCACATTTATCACATATACCAGATTCAAATACAGACTCTATACACTCACCGGCCACTTTATTAGGTACACCACGCTAGTAACGGGTTGGACCCCCTTTTGCCTTCAGAACTGCCTCARTTCTTCGTGGCATAGATTCAACAAGGTGCTGGAAGCATTCCTCAGAGATTTTGGTCCATATTGACATGATGGCATCACACAGTTGCCGCAGATTTGTCGGCTGCACATCCATGATGCGAATCTCCCGTTCCACCACATCCCAAAGATGCTCTATTGGATTGAGATCTGGTGACTGTGGAGGCCATCTGAGTACAATGAACTCATTGTCATGTTCAAGAAACCAGTCTGAGATGATTCCAGCTTTATGACATGACGCATTATCCTGCTGAAAGTAGCCATCAGATGTTGGGTACATTGTGGTCATAAAGGGATGGACATGGTCAGCAACAATACTCAGGTAGGCTGTGGCGTTGCAGCGATGCTCAATTGGTACCAAGGGGCCCAAAGAGTGCCAAGAAAAGATTCCCCACACCATGACACCACCACCAGCCTGAACCGTTGATACAAGGCAGGATGGATCCATGCTTTCATGTTGTTGACGCCAAATTCTGACCCTACCATCTGAATGTCGCAGCAGAAATCGAGACTCATCAGACCAGGCAATGTTTTTCCAATCTTCTCTTGTCCAATTTCGATGAGCTTGTGCAAATTGTAGCCTCAGTTTCCTGTTCTTAGCTGAAAGGAGTGGCACCCGGTGTGGTCTTCTGCTGCTGAAGCCCATCTGCCTCAAAGTTCGACATGTTGTGTGTTCAGAGATGCTCTTCTGCCTACCTCGGTTGTAACGGGTGGTTATTTGAGTCACTGTTGCCTTTCTATCAGCTCGAACCAGTCTGCCCATTCTCCTCTGACCTCTGGCATCAACAAGGCATTTCCGCCCACAGGACTGCCGCTCACTGGATGTTTTTTCTTTTTCGGACCATTCTCTGTAAACCCTAGAGATGGTTGTGCGTGAAAATCCCAGTAGATCAGCAGTTTCTGAAATACTCAGACCAGCCCTTCTGGCACCAACAACCATGCCACGTTCAAAGGCACTCAAATCACCTTTCTTCCCCATACTGATGCTCGGTTTGAACTGCAGGAGATTGTCTTGACCATGTCTACATGCCTAAATGCACTGAGTTGCCGCCATGTGATTGGCTGATTAGAAATTAAGTGTTAACGAGCAGTTGGACAGGTGTACCTAATAAAGTGGCCGGTGAGTGTATATTTTACTGCAAAGTGTTTTTAAAGAAAGTGTCCAAGCTGGACAGATGTGGTGTGTGTGTTGACATTAGCTGCGTTTCCATTGCAAATGTGCGCAAAACTTTGTCGATATTCTGTTATTGTCGAAAAACACAGTTTCACAACTGCAGTGTTTCCATTAAGTAAGAAATGCTATTAAAGTCACGTGAATACGTTTGTTCTCATGATAAGTCATTACAAACATGGCGGCGATGGATGTAAACGCATAGCATGTTGCTACCATGACACTAGCGCTCATCATCAGAGGAGACGTCGGCGTCTTTTATCGAGGCTTTCCAGAGACAAGTCCCTACTTGGGAGCGGCTACGTATGCTGTGTTTTTGGGAAATTGTAGTCAGTGAGTTTACTATTTTATACTACTTCTGTGATATTACTACTACTTCTACTTCCTGTTGTCTTCTTCATCATCGTCTTTTTCACCAGTAGAAACAGCCGGTTGTTGATCACGTGACTCCCGTGATGCGAAAAAAGTGTTTCCATTGCAGTTTTGCGAAAAACACCAATTTCGATACGGCCGAAAAACCACCTCATCTTAATTCAACGTAATTTTTTTTAATTGACGTGTTTCCATTGAGCAAATTTATTTTCAAAATTCTAATATGTGCATTTTCATGGTCAGTGGAAACGGCTATTGTGCACCTTAGGTGTGTGTTTTGTAGGATTCACACAATGACAATGGTTCTAAATATCACCTTTCAGTTATTTTAATGGTTGAAGACAAACAGTGATTTAAAGGATGTTTGTTTGACACAGACTGCTGGGATTTTTGTGACATGTGGTATGTCTTTGTGATAAAGATAAATGTCTCCATTTCACCCCTTCCTCCTGCCCACCCCATCTCTTCACATTCATTTTCTCCCCTTTCTATTATTTTTTAGCACACAAACCTTCCTGAACAGTCTCTCTGGGGGAATCTCTGTCCAGCAGCACATCCTGCTCATCTTAAAGCTCAGTCTGAGCATTTTTACCACCCATCCTTTCTGACTGTCTCTCCCTTTTGACCATCTTTACAAAAACTGTTGTGTTCACCACTAGTAATGCAGCAGTGCTGCACAGCCACCACCTCTTGACACAAGTTGGATCAAATTTTGAAGTAAAATTTTTTCTCCTTTCTCTCTCTCCCTTTCCCTGTAGGCTGCAGAGTCAGGCATTGTGAAAATTAAGACCATAGCAGCCAGGAATACAGATATACTGGCAGGTGAGTGACATACTGCTCAGGAGGTGTGAACTGCTTTAGCTGACACATGAATAATAAATGAACTAATGAACATGTTGCAACAATCTAACCTGATTGTGGTGTGGTTATAATAAACACTGCAAGGCAGAAAAGTGAAGTCTAGATTCAGTAGCAGCATGTGGCAAAATAATGAGCTCAGGAAAACTAAATATACTTAAGGACCAGTTTTTTTCAGTTGATTTTTTTTAATGACAAAAATATTCCAAGATGACAGTAATTAGGATGCAGAATGACAAATGCAGTCAGTCAAAGTCAAGTTGTGTACCGATGTCCCTGGAATCACATCTGGTATGTTCACACTGCACACAATAGTGACACAAGCCCAATCTTTGTTTGCCTAAATGCAACCCATACCTCATTTTTTATGACAGTCTGAACGTGACAAATCTGTTTTTGTTTGTTTAGTTTTTTAACCCGTCCCAAGTTTTTTTCATGTATGGTACTGAATCAGATACATAAAGCATCTGGGGCCTCACTAAAGGATTGCGTAGCTTTCACACTAAAAGTTGACGTACGGACAAATTTAGAAAAGTGCGCCGCACCAAATAATTCAGATGTATAAAATCGTGCGCACTAGGGCTGCCACAAACGATTATTTTTATAATCGATTAATCACGATTATTTTTTTCGATTAGTCGACTAATCAGATCATACGTTAATTGAATATAAATCACACAGCTTATCACGTCAGAATGCAGCTGCTATTATATAACCATGGTTAGATTTTAGCTATATGCTAACTAAAAATAATTGCTGTGGAAGGTAAGTTCTGCTCTGCAGATATTACAC